GACCTTGGGAGCAGCTGCGGTAAAAAGGTGCGAGAAAAAAAAAAAAACCATGGCGCAACAATTTTGAGACAAACCCGGGAGTCGGGCCCAGGGTGTCGGGAGGGTGTCCGCCCAGGAGGCCCAATGCGCTGTGACACGAATGGCCTCAGCGGATCGCAGCCCAAGGCCACCGACGTGTAAGGGCAACTGCGCTCGCTTGGTGGCGAACACAAATCTCACAAACAATTTAGGACCACTTTGTCATGCGGGCGGGCGAGGGCCGCCGTGGCGGGAGGTGGTAAGGCATGGAAAGTAGTGACAACGTGGAGCCGCGCAAGAGAGCAGCAGAAACCATGCCGACTGCAAATCCAGGACTGTTGGGATTTCGTACTGCAAGGAGGCGTGAGCCGCAACTTTTTGCCGCAGGAACGCGCCGACAAACGCATCACTCCCCGGAGGCGTCCCGAGCACAACCATGCCTTGCTCCTCCGGCAGCAAAAATGACTTGCCGGCCCACACCAGTGGCCGCCGCCACTTCCGCCAGAAGCCCAGGCGGCGACCTTCGTTTTGCCGAGGTGCAGATCTATGTTGGCGTGTGCCGCCAAGGCCGTCCGGATTGCGCGGAGGGTCGGGACGGCCCGCTCGATTGGGCACGTGATGTACGTATTGTCCAGAACCTCACCCGGGTGGAAAGCGCCAGGCTCCGCCTGCAATGCCGTGTGGATTCCGGGCATTAGCGGCTCACCTTTCTCGCCTCCCTCCGACTGAAGAACCTTTGCTAGTATGGCATTCGTCGTAAGATGAATGCAAGGTGTCCCCGCCGTTTATTTGCAACTCCGGCGATCCCGCCGCGCAACAGCCCCAGGCTCCTCAGGCTACACAGCTGACCCTTCAATCACCATGCTGTCATTCGATGGGTCGGTCGGTGCCTTCGACCTCACCAGCCGGCAAACGATGCTTGCAGCCCTTCGTGAGGTCACCGAGGCCTGCTGCACACTGCCCAAGTGAGGCCGCTTGCCAGTCGCGTCTTCACCGCCCTCCACACCTGCCGAATTGCGATTGAACTCCGCAGCATTGAAACGGTAGCTCCAGCCTCTCGGCAAACCCTGGTGGCCGCTTGCTCATGCTTGCTCCAATGGCACGCCCCTGGAGCGCAAAAGTCCAGCGCGCGGGCAGGCGGCACGCTGGTCGCCAAGAATCACCGACACCTGGCTGAATCGAGTGGAAGCGGTACGCGCGGCCGACGGAGAAGGAGCAGGCGGTGCCAATGTCTTGCTCCGCGACCTGAATTTGATCACGCAGCGGCATGACGACCGACGCCCTAAAGTTATGGCAAATGGATTTCCGTTGTGGGGCGATCTCCAGCTTGCATGGCGCCAGCGAGTCACCTCGGCTTTGCCTTGCGCATCGCTCGTTTGGCCAAGGAGTACCTACCCTGAGCTCCTACGCGAAACCCGCGATGCTGCCTGGTCGTGCACGCCATGGAAGTTGCAGGTGGCTGGAGTTCTGAGCCGTCCAATTCGTGTGGCTCCTTTGCCCGCAGCGGGGCGCGGTCCGCACATGCTTGTGCACAGCGGTGATCCGGCCTTCTCGCCTTCGCAGCCGCCCGAGCCTGTGCTGCATCGCCCCAATCCGCGCAGCTGCATGGCACAGCCAACATCGATGGCCCCATCCCTGCCCTCACCGACCTCCCGCTGAGGAGCGCTACGGTCTGCCGGCCCTGTCGCCAGCCGCCTCGTTTCCAACATGCGTGGCCCTGTGTATGCTGACCACGCGCAATGGTATTGAAGCTCTGGTGCCGGGGCACCGCTCGGCCGTTGAGTCATATCAATCCACAACTGTGGTGAGTGTGGGCATACGATCACATCTCCCGCAGCTGCATATTTCAAGCTTTCCACGACTCCCCGGATGGCGTCGCTCACATCTCCGGCCTGAAAGCGAGGTGTCGGGGCCAATGGCCACGGAAAAAAAAATCGAAACGTGCACGGAGCTCAGGCATTGGGACGCGGGGTGCCGCAGATGGCCGGCAGAGCAACATGCGAGGGAGCAGCAACCAGAATTTCCACGTTTTCTCCACGTCGGCGTAGTCGCGGCATTGACTTATTGCGAGAACGCGAAATGCAATTTTTTAAAGGCGGGCGGCGAACGGAACTAAGGGCAAGGCTGATGCAAGACGGCCGCGGCTTCCATGGCATGAAGGCTCGCAAGTGCAGTGCTGAGCTGTGGGCCTTGAAGGCCGGTGGTGCTGCGGGTTGGCGGTGGGACAAGTGACTGAGTGCCGAGTGCTTGGGCGTCACCGGGCAAGGCGGGTGCAGGGCTGCTTGCATCGCCGCCGATGGCGCCTGAGCTGGAACTGGAGCCTGTTGTCACTCCCGCAGCTGCTGTTTCTTCAGCGGGTTGAGCACGGGGAAAAGGGCACGGGAAGAGGACGGCGTGATCTGTGCGCGAAAGGGCGGCTCAGCGCTGGTGTGTTGTCTTTTGTAAAGAGCCGCAGTGAGCGCGGTTGCTGGCTCACTGGCAAGGAAATTTTCCAGCAAGGCCTCCTGGGCGGAGGCCGGCGCGTAGCCATTGGTGATATTCCCCCACGGGGAAAATCCATTTGAGGTGAGCTTGAGTGCCCGTTGGCAAGCCCTCGACAAGGGCAGCAAGGACGGCGGGGAGCGCGGCTTCGAAGCCGGAGAGCTGACGACCCTCCATGGCGTTGACATCCTGAAGGGTTCGCAGTGTCGTGGTGAGGGTGGCAACTGGGACTGAAACGACCATAAGAAGGGCGTGATGAAAAACCAGCTGTATGGTGGTGGCGCGGCGCGCCGCGAGTGGACCACGAAAAGGTAGCTGGCGCGGTGTGCTGGCCAGAGGCGAGTTGTCGTGTTGGGCGTGCCGACACGACTAGGACGGTCCGACGCGGACAGGGGTGCAAAGTGCAAACGGCGTGTGGAGGCCGGGGGCTCTGGTGATTTGGTGGGGGATCAGAATCTGCGCCAGTTGCTGGAACAGAGTCGGGAACGGTGGCCAACGCTCCTAACTCCCATGCTGTGGGCAAAAATTGAAGACAAAGCCACTCCGGATCCTACGCGCAGGTGTTGCGGTTGAATGTTGGGGCCCATTCCATGCCCCCCCAAACAGCTTCTGAACCTTCTGAAGTCCAAAAATGACGACAGTTCTGCGTTTCGCGACCTGGACCCCCCCAGGCTCTGTGACTGTTGACATTTTTGAAACGCGAAAACCCAACGCGAGTCCAAAATTCTGCGTTTCGCGACGATTTTGGGCGCGGACGCTTGCGAACACACGGCGAACGCTTGCGGACGCTTGCGGACGCTCTGCACGGATTTCGCGTCAATTCCCAACCCCCAGGCCCCCAATCTTAAAACGAGAACGCTTCTGCTGAACTTCTGCTGCGCATTCGTGGCAAAAAACAGAGCACACTTGTCCTGCAGAGGGGCCGACATCTGCTGGGCGACCGCCAGGGGCACTAGGCAGCGGAAAGCACCCCATGACCAAGGCCCAGATGCCGCCCTCAAGTTTTTTTGGAGCGCCACCACTCGAGTCCCTGCGCAACCGGCTCGGGCAGATCTGCCCGGGCCAACCGTTGCGGCACATGGTGCAAAAAGTATCAAAAAGTCGCAGCAGTCCTCATCACCAAGCAGCACTCTGCAGTGTTAGCATGTCGCGCCCGACGGACCGGCAGCGGCACCCGCGTGTTTGGGGACGCTTGCTACAGATTGCGGAGCTCTGCCAACGTTTCCGCATTTGCTGGTGCCAAAGGCGCGGGCTCCAATGCAGAGCTCGCCACCGACAATTCGCCCAAGTGCGCCAACTCTCATGTTTCGCCGCATAGCGACGCATAGTCCTCACGTCGCCTGACAAATCTATGACAGCAACATCTTTCTAGTTTTGGAGCGGGTTCCACAGTGTTTTGGAACACGTTGCTGGTCGGGTTTTTCATTGGGTGTTTGGATTTAAGCACCCAAGAATAGCAACAACTGGTCAAGCATTTTACGTGTAGTTAATTGGCGCAAGGAGGTTGTTGTTTTGTGGTTGGGCTGGTGCCCTTCAGCCCGATTTCTTGATTTGTTTCAAATGGTGTTGTGGCGAAGCCATATTTCCGTTCAAGGAGTGCATCTCACCATTGGTCGGATTGCCGCCATGCCGAAGTTTCAGAGACAGGCAACACATGCCAATGAGTCCGACATCCTCCACCTCATTGATGAAAGATTTGAAGAATTGGAGGAGTGATGACGTAGGATCCATTTCTTAATTCCATGCCATGCCCAACAGTGACCCTAAGGGTCCAAGGGCCCAAATAATAGGGTACTAATATCATAGTATTTGGGCCCTAGAACCCATTCACTTGGGTCCTTGGACCCAAGTTACTATATAGGGGAAACCCTAGTATTTACTATATACCGCCTTTAACAGCAACCCAGTTTAGGGTTTGGGGCTTCTCCTTGGAGGGTCATGGGGACGTAGTAAGTGACTTAACAATAAGGATAACTAGGGTTAATGTATAGGTTATAAGGGTTATTAACTACATACTTAGTTTTCCTGACCCTAAACCTGAACCAATAAAGAAAGCCATCATGTGGAAAGTTGCAGCGACCAAAGGGGTGGTTTTGCCACCAGAGTGTTGCCAGTAGTACTATCGGCAGCCATGATGCCCGTGCATTTTTCCTTTTTGCCCGTGGATTGTCACAGTGCCACGCCCTAAATAATCGTTTGATGTTCACATAAAGATTTCGTAGCCGGATGTTCCCCCACAGCTATCCCAACGTGTCACGGGAGGAGACTGTGGCATTGGCGCGCTTGATACCACAAATCCACGATCGCCTCTTTGAACTGGAGAAATTGCTGGAACGCCCTGAGGCAAGAAGATTACGTTTAGAGGTTGGGTGCGTGACCTGTTAATGTGTCACGGGTGAGAGCATTTACCAAATGAGTTGAGGGTGTGAACGATCCGTATGTGGTTTTGGCTGCAATACGTTTTCTGAACTCATTGGGATTTAGCCGAGCATTACGAGTGTTGGACAATGTAATGGTTTTATTCATTCGACCCCCCGATGCGATGTAGCTATTTTGGCTCAAGACACTTTGGTTCAAGCGTGACGAGGTGCTCAAGTTGAAGAGGATTCTGCTTTCAGAGCCGAACGCATGTTGGTATCAATTGTTTGGGCAGGCCCCACAGACTTCATCTGGAGTCTTTGCGCGCTCATGTTCGCTCTGGGTTGGCCCAGAGGATAAACACTGCGCTTGCAACCAAAAAGCCTCGCCAATGTGAAAATCGTTTTAGCTCGTTTTTTTGCTCGTGGCACGGTCGCCGTTGCCGTTGCCATTTTCAGCATATTTCAGCATTGCGTAAGTCAAGTGATTTGACGTGCTGCGACAAGGCCACCGTTTTCGACATCAACGCAGAACTGTTGCGCGTGAGTTCCTACTTGCCTCTGGGCCGCGCAGACCCCGTTTGCCATGGACTCTACGGGGCTGTCATGGCGCGTTGCAGAGTTTCGCAGGCTTTTTCTAGAACCTTCTGGGGGTTCCCTCGACGCCTGACGTGACCGCCGCGCGCGCCGCATATGCCACGGCTGGTGTCTTGCCAATGCTGGTTATCTGCCTCGAACACGCACTTGCACGCATGGGTCAGAATGCTGGAGCGCAATTTGCGCAAGAATCTGTGCACGATGGTTTTTTTTGTAATGAGTTGCTGCTTTGGCATGGGCGACAAAGCCACCATTGCCAGCCCGATGCGCCGCGATGGAAGGCCGTGGCCATGAGACGACGTCCGGCCAGCCACTGGACTTGCCCGGGCTGCCACCTTGTTGTGTTTGGGGTTGCGGCCTGCAGTTTTTGGTTTAAATTGCTAAAGCGACAACTCGTGTGCGTTTGCTCGCGAGGGCACGGGCCAAGCCGCGCTTGCAGCACTGCGTCAAACCGCTGAAGCAGCGCACCTGCTCCGCCGGAGCGGCATCTGTGTATCGTTCTTTCCTTGCGTCATCCCTGCAGTTCGTAATGGACAGCATGTGTGGCGGGAGGTCGCCGCCGGCTTTGCCAGGGCTCCTTGCAAACGCTCGGTGCGAGGAGGCGACTGCTGCACGCCGCATGCCCTTGCCATCTACGTGAAGGCCTTGGGCCCGTGCCCGGGGCAGGGCTGCACGTGGATTGCGCGGGCAAGTTGCGCGAAGGAAATCAGGGGAAAAAATACAGGTACAATCAGATACCTGTAGGTGTTTAGCTTGCGTTAATGAGCGTAGGCATGCCCCTGCAGGTTCGCGGTCTCGAAGTCAAGACGGGCCCGCAGTGGAGTGAGCCTGGAATGTCAGTGTGTAGGCATATAAGGGTATGAAATGCTAGTATGCGTCCCTCTGACTTTCTTACTTTGAGGTTGGGGACAGTAAGCAAGGCAAACTCCCATGCCTGTGAGCTTTGTATGAACCAGGATATGTAGTGTGACTCCAGCATGTCACTTTTGTTTTGGTGTCAGTCTACCTTTGCAAACATAGCAACCCAGGAACCAGGGCCACCTGCCCGGATTGTGATGCAGGATGATGAGGATGACAACAAGATCCAGGAAAATCCAGACAGCAGAGAGATGGACATGAAAAGTGTCCCCACAGGGCTATCGCCACGATCAATGGCGGAAGCTCTTTCGCCTGCTGCGAACAGGAAAAACAAAAAGAAGATGACAGAAATCTCGCGCGAAAAAATGTCCGATGTGAATGAACACATCTTAGACACACAGACTAATGAGTACTATACATGGGGAGAATCCACATGGGATTTAGTGATGTTCATTGGCACGGGAGCTTTGGGCCCCTTGGGTTCCATCCAAACCTGTTTGTTAGCAGTGGTGAACGTCCTGATGCAAGTGGTCTTCGTGGCGATTGCCTATTACAACTTCACTTCCCCAGATGTGAATGAGACCTCCGTCCTCGAGGCACAAAGGTGGAGACGAGCCTCCGGTCATTCCCTCTGGAGCTACAGTGAGATTTCAAAGGAATCGCTGGCTGAGCGTGTTTGCAAACTCGACAAGTCCTTGGAGCAATCTGGAATCCAGGCCGTATGTTCGTTGTGTTTCTGCATCATTGATACGTTTATAACTTCAACAAGTTCAGCGCTGTTCCATGGACCCTGAGGTGTTGAAGATGCTTTTGAATCGGGGCCTTAGGGGCATTTGGTCTCGCGTATACCGCAGGGTAAGCATTCCATGGATGCAGCACAGTTGACAAATAATGTTGACTTCATATTGAAAATTACCCCTACATCTATAAAATCCCGGGCGAGGAACACAATTATAACAACCCCCATCATTATAATATTCCCGCGGATATCTAAGGATAAATGTTCAAAATTGGTTAAACTTATAAGTTTTAACAGATCCGTGTTAGAAGTGGTTTACTGCTTGGCAAGGTGCCCCTAGCAAGTTTAAGAGACTAAATCTAGAGTTTGCTTGTTGCAGAAGCTCTGTTTTGATGCTGGCCGGAAAAATTATGTAGGGAAACTCTGGAAAGTCCAGACTGCTGCTGAAAAAAGAAATAGATTTCGTACTACAAAACTTTATAAAACCAACCCAACATCAATCCATCAAATGGGGTAGTAAACGGAGCCCCGGAATCCACATTCATAAACCACCACATGTATAAGATCCCACTCCCGAAATAGTAATCACTATAAGGCCCTAATTATTCCGGGCGCGCCCCGGCGCCCTTTCATCTGCATGCCATGACCGAATCGATTCGATCGACATCGATCTATCGATTCGATTTCCAGCGATCTACAGCGATCCTCCGATTTCCCACCTGCCACCTCCCACCCTCCACCTCCCACCCTCCTGGGAGGTGAGGTGGGAAGCTGGGGGGGTGGAGGTGGGAGGATGGGATGGGAGGTGGGAGAGTGGAGGTTAAGGTGGGAGGGTGGAGGTTAAGGTGGGAGGTGGCAGGGTGATGTGGGAGGGTGGGGTGGGAGGGGTGTGGTTGGGGAGGGTGGGAGGTCGGAGGGTGGGAGGTGGGAGATGGGAGGGCTACGGTAAGAGGCAAGTTCGATTCGATCGATTCGATTGTCGATCCGATTCGCTGCCGGTGTTTGCGGTTGGTTGGTTTGGCATGATCTGCCTTTAAACTCCTCTTCTAGACCCTCCCGGTGACATTTCGGGCGCCACTGGCGCTCTCTTATCTGCCGTTAAACTCCTCTTCCGATCTGCCTTTAAGTCCTCATTCTCATACTCATACTAATACTAAATATGATACTACTTCGTAACCAGGGTTTCCGCCATTAATCCGGGGGCCCCCGAAACCTAGATTGATCAATCGAAGGGGGCGGGGATTTATTAACACAAAGTCAATATTATTGTTGACAAAGTCAGCGCCGGCTGGATGCAAAACAGATTCATTTAACAATTGCAACCAAAAATGCATCGACAGCCCATCGTTTTGGGAATAGCCGACTGTTGATCCCTCAAGCGCATGAACAAGCGGCCAGCGCGTGAAATGAACCCGAGCTTCCTCTACAGGTGGCCTTGTACGAGAACATTGAGAAGTATTTGAAATCTGGGACAACTGGCCTGGAGGGATACTTCACGGGTCAGGGGCTCTGCATTGTGGCCTTGGTATGTTGGTATTTGATGGTGGCCAAAGAGCTGAGTCACGCCTTGGCATTGCTCCGTGGAATTTTGGCCATGCCATCAGGCCCCACGCGGATTGACACACGAGAGAATCCCTTTACCAAGGCCATTCACTATCGCCTGCGTACTGTGGCATTCCGCCGAAAGGTCTTCAGTGCCCTATTGTTCGGTTATCGTTTGCTGGCAGCTGCTGTTTTGGTCTTTGTCGGCACGTTTTTCCTGGTGTATACTGTCAGCGTCACAGAGCTCATCTTGAATGCAGTGGCATTGGGAATCATTTTGGACATAGACGATTTGCTCTTCGATGCCTTGGCCACCACTCCTGGGAGGCACCTGGTTCATCAATTGGATGCTTTACCCATGCCGTCGTTGCCACGGGTAAGGGGCGCTGATGCCAAGTCAGTGTCCATGTCGATAGGCATACCCTTTCTCACCATCCTGGTGTACTTCACCATGTTGGGGCCTTTTGTTGGTACCTTGCAAGACGTGAGCTCAGCAATGTGTGGAGGAAACTTGGGATTCGTTTGGAATGCCGACAAACGAAGGGTCGTGCTGATGGCCCCCACGACCGGTGGAGGATGGGAAGATCAGGATGCAACGAAGACCTTTGCTGTTGAAGAAGGTGAGCGCGTTGGATTCGGCCTCGACCAGGATGATGCTAAGTATGGTGTATGGCTGCAGGATGTGAGCCTGGTCGGGGATCTCACGGTGTTATCTCAAGCAGAGAGCATTGATCTGTTCAATCCTGATTGCGGGAACTTGGGTGATACAGAACCGATGCTGAACTACCTCAAGTTCTTTCTTCAGAATGATAGCTTGCAAGGATGCGCAGATGCAGCACCATTTTGCGATTCAATCACTAGCTTGCCAGATTATGGAGGGGATGATGGCAAGGGATGGGCCACTCGCATGCTTTGTTCTGCGACATGTGGATGTCAGACTCCTGCAAGTGAGAACTTATTGGTTCAGGGATGTCCATACGGCCCAAGCAGATCCTGTCATCTGTCTGAAGCCTTCCTTGAATTTAGGCAGAACAGTGTGTGCATTGAGCAGAATGCCTCCAGTCTTCGGCAATATCCCCCTTGGGTCCAGTGGATCGAGGCGCTGACATCCTATGGAAACCATGCTGCAAATCTGAAGGGCAAGCAAGAGGCGCTGTCGATAGCTCAGGCTATGTGGGATCATGGTTGTGGCTTCCAAGCAAACTTGAGCGCGGAGAACATCTCTTGGGGAGACTGCTTCAGCTGGAATAGTTCCTTCGAGTGGGAGTTCAAAACACCCGAGGTATTCTGCCCATTGAGCTGTGGATGTTCCCGCGAGACTGTGGATTCCGCTTGCCCTCAACCATTTGGCTATGCCTGTGACCAACTCGAAGAAGAGCGTTGTCTTACGCTAAATGGGCAGCATTTTTGCCCAGGCTTCAGCCCTTCAATTTCAGGCGGGGATGTCTAAAATCTCTCCATGTGCTAAGCACTTTTTTTTTCAAGATGCTTGCGGGTCTAGAGGGATATCCAACTTTTTGTTACATGCACAGGTGCAATTTCTGCGAGCGCCTCAACCACTGACCCGAACGTGATGGCCCAACTGTTCGTCCCATCTCAGATGGCACTCATTGACAGCCTCGCTCACTTTTCGGGGGCGGGCACGGCTGCCATCCGCATTGATTTGATCCCTCGCGGGGTGTTAATCATAGGACTCTTTAACATCTTCATGGTAGACCCGACATGGAACATGGAAAACATGTCTTCCAGCTTGTTTGGAACATCCATCGCAGTCTTTGAAGCGCGGGTGTTGCAGTTTCTCACAGCTGCAGGGGTTCAATTGGCCGGTGTAGGTCTTCAAATTTTGTCTTTGACCCCTGATGCACTTCTTCCAATCAGAAGATTGGCAAACGCTGGAAACGAAACCCGTAGCCAGCTCAGTGACATTGATGGAGTGCCAAGTTCGAGGCGGCTCGTCTAAAGGACAGCCTGCACTGAATCATACTTCTCAAAGATATGGCAAGAGATCTCGGGGTATTTTGTAAACATCAGGGGGGTTCCCAAAATTAGGGTCCCCTTTTGCCCTAAATATTCGGCACTGTAATATAACTATCAACCAAGGGGGCCCGTAATTTTGAGAATAGCTTATAAGTCTCAACGTGTAGTAATAATGACCCAACGAATGATTTCGAAAATGGCAGAGTTCTGTCTCACGAGGGCTCCAGGGCCTCATCCAAGGTGACCTTGTCGAATGACCAAGTCATGATGACAAAAACAATCTGGGCTTTTGAAGATTCCTCAAGGCTGCTAAACACAGCAGCCCTGCGGATGCACTTTGAGCAGAAAAAGCCACCCTTGGAAATCTACAAGCGCGTTAGTGCACATCGCTCAGTTGATCAGAGCACAATGTGACTTCTCTGAGCCGAGCCCAGCGAGTGAAAAGCGGGTGCCAGAAATGTCCATAAATTCCATAAACTTCCAAGACCGGCGAGGAAGTAATCATGAGCAATGTCTCTCTCTCGCTCAGCTAGTATCAGAGAACTAGTGCCGCAGCATCACCCAGAAGCCCTCAACTTACTTCTCACTGCTCAATCCAAATGAACTCTGCACCTGTGAGGGCGTCCAAGCCGTAAGTTTGCCAGCCAGAATCGCTCATGATTTTGTTTTGGTAGGGCTGTCGAGCCTGAAATGGGGAAGAGAGTTTAGTTGCACGCCTGCCCTCCCGTTGTCATGGCTCATGCTGTGTACGGACTTATCTTTCCCTGCCAACAGCGCTTGCTTTCACTTGAGCCGCTATTATTCTTGCACTGCCGTGGGGGAGACCAGGGACATGCGCAGTGACCTGCCGACCGGTAAGCAAACCATTTGCAAGGATAGGACTGCTGGACGCAGTGCTGACATGGTTTTCAGCCAGTTTGGTTTGGTTTTGCCGCAGGCATCAGGTCAAATAATGCGCCCGGTTGCGTGCCCAGAACTGTAGATCGTCCGGAAGGTCCCAAAATGGGAGACCGCGGCAACCTCAGAGACACTGCTTTCCATAATCCCCGGTGCATACTAAGCACGGCGACATGATACACGTCTTCCAATGCTTGTATCACCATAAGGGACAGTTGCATCAATGGCATTTGACAGTAGAGGGTCTTGAAGAACAAGGCACGCTTTCCAGAATCTAGTCGAAGAGGGCTATGAGTTCTTGAGGCAGTCGCAGCCGAGACCGCGAGAACAAACGCAAGGAGATGATGCTTCATAGCCAATTCCCTGCTACAGGAAATCAAAGACATGCTACACCTGCAGATTCCTCTGTGTCGATGACTGCACCGAGGCTGCTCAAAGCCAACGTGTGCGAGCGCAATCTGATCAACTGTACGCAGATTTAGTTTCTTACTGACCCCAGTCATGTATACTCATTTTGCAAGTCACAAGAATCTACTCAAAAGCGAACTTTCAGGACCCCCCAGAACGCTTCCCCGCCCAAAATGCAGGACAGTCGGAGTCGGTCGCGCAAGAAAGATAGCCGAAGCCGAAGCAGGTCGGAGCAGGTACCGGCTGCTTTGAGCTTCAGATGGAAAAAGAAGCCAATGTTTCAGACATATTGGGAGTATTCCAAATGAGATTGGGACTTCAAGGTAAGGAGGGAAGCTTGACAAAGCATGGGTCTGAAGCAATAGCGGAAGATGCGGAAGAATGGCGACGTGTTTCTTGAGCCTGGCCTGTGAGCGTCTTTCTGCTGGGTGTGCACGGTGTCTCCTGTTGTGTCTGGTAGTGGTACTTGCTGCCGAACATTTGCAGTTGTTGTTTTCGTTTCCTGATCGTGGCGCTTGCTGCATATGCCGCAGCAGAATGATGACAGCACGGTAGCAGTAGTGGCAAGATGTTGCATTGCATTGCATTACATTGCATTGCATTGCATTGCGTTGCGTTGCATTGCATTGCATTGCATTGCACGCATGGCAAGTCTAGCAATGCCGGACAATCCCGGAACGGCAGTGAAACTTACCAAATGCATTGAATCATGTTTCTGCAGCTGAGCAGGCCAGACCGAAAAGACCAGATGATTATGGTGTGCGGTGCTGAGCAGGAAATCACAGCCAGAGCTTTGATGTTCAACATGTTGCATCATACCCCATGCATACAACTACCGCGTATGACAACCTCTAAAAAAGCTTCTTTCCAGGCATTGATAAAACCCAACGCAAGATGACAAAACAAAGGTCGACACCATGAAAATCACAGATGACGATGCCGCCTTCATCTTGGGCAAAGGTGGCAAGACAAAGGCGTCTTTCCCTCTCAGGGCTAAAGGTTTAGAGTTTACGGCACAGGACGTATGTTTAGGATTGAAGGCTCTAGGCCAAGCAATGGTGAAGCACATCTTGTCTGTGCAGGAGAAGATTGCACGAGTTTCGGGTGCAGAAATAGCCTCTCTGCTTGTTTGTGCGCGGCTGTGTTGTTGTTCTGGTACGTGGTTACCAGGATCTGGCCTCACTTCGCCAGAGACGTGTATTTTCTCAAAATGATGGGCCCTCATCTGGCGAAATTTGTTAAGCGTTGGCAGTGGCATACGGTGTCATCATGGAGCTATACCCGTCTACCTGTCAAGTGCGAAGCTGCTGATATCTTCGGTTGCTGCCAGTATTTGATCCGGTTGTGTTTTGGGATCAAGCTGATCCAGCCAAGGAGCTGTTCGAGCGAGACTTGGTTTTGGAAATCCGCGGCTCCAAGAAGGAACGCCGTCGCGCAAAGAAGTACGCCGAAGGCAAGGGGCCGATCCCACTGCATGGTGGGATGAATGCTGCACCAAGAAAGGAGCGGAATTCGGGATTTGATGGTTTATAAGGGTTTAAGGGTATGTAAGATGCATCTCGACCTTGACTGTCGTTACTTCGTGTGCTTTATCTCGCTGTTGCACACATTTAACAGAATAGGGGCGGTCTGAACAGAGTCAGCAGGACACAGACTATGCTAAAAGAAATCTAGCCTTACCAGCTTTAGGTAGGATGGACACGCACAGTTTCTCCCAGCTCGCTCCGGCAGGGGGGAGCACAGCGAGACCCACTCAACACCCACCTCACCCACCTTGTCTTTTCAGTACTTGAGTACTACGGATTACTTACCTTTGGAGCTGGATGCTGACGAGAGGTGTCATGGCGCAGCGTACGGGGCCCACCACTTAGTTTTCATTTGAGCGAAATTTGTGCGAAGGCGAGTGGGGAGAGGGGTTTAAGGTAGAATCGGGGTAGTCTTGGGCAGGGCCCTTGTTTTCTGGCAGCAGCTGCTAAATTGTAGAGGCATGTGTAGAAAGCATCAGAAAGCAACATGGGCATGCAAATGTCTCAGTAGGCCATTAAACTTTTTTTCAGGATGGCGATTACTGTGAATGTCAGGAGTACTCAGGTGTGCCTGTCATCACAGCCAGTGGGTATTTGACGCTTTGATGCTTGGTTAGGGTTTGGGGTATGGGTTTTCATGTTCAGGATGGTCGAAGGTGTTTCAAGGTGTCAGGGCCAAGCCTCGCATTAAGGCCGGTGACTGTCAATGAGGATTACGATGACGGCGACTTAACCATGCTGCGCGTCTGACCAGCATGATTCCATGTGGTCGTAGCTGGAATTAGTGGCAGCCATGGTCATGAGGGCTGTCGAAGAGCTTTAGCATTAGTGTATTGCTACACAAGTAGGAGCAATAGTAAGTTCCCAGCGGCAAGGGCAGGAGCAGTGATGGCAACAAAAATAATCATGGGGCATCAGCACGGCGTCGCGCCAGGTGCCGCAAGAAGCGGTTGGTTTCGTCACGGGGCGAGTGCCGCGGCTACAGCAGAGTTTCTTTCGACGAGGGAACCCGTACTTGAGCACAGCTTCTAATTGGGACCACGATTGTTTGGAAGCAGCTGCTTTCATATTTACGTGCCTTTGGCCTAGTTGTTTTGCAAAGTATCACGCGCCGGGGCGTCGTCTACCTTGACTACGTGCTGCCTTACCTAGCATTTCGATGAGGGGCAAGCATGCGCGCGAAAGGTGGTGCAAGAATAGGGCTTGCTGTGGCCTGTGCACGGCTTCGAATCCCGATGGTAGAGCAATGGCACTGAAATTTCGAACAGCACCCTGGTTTTGATGTCAGTGCTTCTTCTGCAGGCTGGCAACTTCCTTCGCACCATCGAAGAAGAGTGGGGAACCTTGATGCCTTGACCTCATTGTGGAGTTTCTAATGAAGAGGGGCTTCGCGTTCTAGAGGATTCTTCTCAAAGCGCACATTTTGCGCGAACAATTTTGCCTTCAGTATCCGCGCATGTCTATCCCGCTGTTGATGCTAGAGCTGCTTTAAAAAGTGAATTGAATAGTGCACCACTAACCGCGTGAACAAGAGTGCTTCGTGCGAACAGTCATACTGGCAGAGGGTGGTAGCAATCAATATGCTGGAAGGTTCTTTGTCGAAGTGGAAAGCTCTCGCTCGCGGAGCAAGGACAACGTGGCAGGGCAGACAGCCTAACATGCGGTGCTTATGGCTTATGTTTTTGGGAGCAAAGGGGGGTGTCAAACAAAATGAGAACCCTTGTGGAGTCCTTGAAGTATGGAGCATCACTTTTGGGTATATTCAAGCAGACCCCAAAGTTTTGGAAATATTTTAAATCCCCCAAGTCACTGCTGCAGGAATACGAGAAGCTAGCCATCTTCGGCAATGTGAAAGCCCGCAGAGGGGCAGAACTGAAGGCTGGGAATGGGCTCGCGGCTTTGATCTTGATAACGGAACATCCAAACATCATGGGAGGTGTGGGGATGCAAAGGAAGTTATGTGGATACCCCAGAAATTATAGACTACAGGCCTATCAATGGATCAATGTGCGATCATTTTCAGACATTTGCCGCTGCGCTCGTTTGAGTATGAAAGGTCCTCAGCGCTGTGGAAACGAAAGTTCCGGGCTACTTTGACAAGATCCGCGACGACGTGGCGCATGCTGAGCTGTTGTAGCTACACAGCCCCGAACAGCACATTCAGAACCAATCTCTTCTAGCAGAGCATCCCTGCAAGGTGGTGCCTCGCGACCGAGGTGCTGACTATGAAGATGGTACTTGGGGCACGGCACCTTCGACGCAGACAGAGCCTTCCTCGCCTCCCCAAGCTACAGCATGGATTCAAAGCTCAGGACACAATGACATTCCAGGACGACGAGCTATCCTATGCTTTGGGCAAGCAGGTGGGGAGTAAATCCTATGCGCAATCTGCGCCCAGCCGCGCGAGACAGATGTGCTTCCTAATGGGTTCGGGGCATGCGTGGGGGTGCTGTGGTAGAAGTTGTGCTGGTGCGGTGCTTATTGTAGTGGCAGCTTGTTGCTGCTGGCGGTGCTGCAGCTGCTGCCGGTGATGGTGATGGCAAGAGTAAGGGTCTTGCTGGGGCCGCTGGCGCTGGCGTGCACTGGTGCTCGGCGGCAGTGGTGGTGGTGGTGGTGGTGGTGGTGGTGGTGGTGGTGGTGGTGGTGGTGGTGGTGGTGCTGGTGCTGATGCT